AGAATAATTATTAATCTTATTAAATTTGCATGTAGAAATAGTGACTAACAGTAAGGTTGATTTACTATTTAAGTTTGTTTATTTTATATTGGAGTATAGTTGCTTAACAATGTTGTGTACATTTCACATGTACAGCAAAGTGACTGAGTTATACATACCTGTGTATCTATTCTTTCTCAGATTCTTTTCCCACGTAGGTTTTTACAAATATTGAGCAGATTCCCTGTGCTATACAATAGATCTTTGTTGGTTACCTATTTTAATACAGCAGTGTGTATATATATATATGTCAATCTCAAACTCCCAATTTATCCCTCCCCCCCACCATTCCTCACTGATAAGCATAACTTATTTTTTTATTTGAGTTGTTTGAGTTTTTTGATATTGAGCTTCATGAGCTGGTTGTAAATTTTGGAAACATCCCTTTTTGGTCACAGTGCTTGCAAATATTTTCTCCTATTCTGTGGGTTGTCTTTTTGTTTTGTTTATGGTTTCCTTTGCTGTGCAAAAGCCTTTGAGTTTAATTTCCCATTTATCCATTTTTGTTTTTATTTCCTTTACTCTTCGAGATGGACTGAAAAAGTTATTGCTCTGATTTATGTCCGAGTATTCTGCCTGTGTTTTCCTCTGAGTTTTATAGTATCTGACCTTACATTTAGGTCTTTAGTATATTCTGAATTTCCTTTTGTGTATAAAGAATACTCTAATTTCATTTTTTACATGTAGCTGTCCAGTTCAGTAAACACTACTTACTGAAGAGACTGTTTTTTCTCCATTGTATATTCTTGCCTCCTTTGCTGTAGATTAACTGACCACAGGTGCAGGTTTATTCTGGGCTTTTTATCTAGTTCCACTGACCTATGTTTCTTTTTTTTTTGCCAGTACCATACTTTTGTTTCTCTTGATACATTTTTTTTTTTTCAGGGAAAGGCATTTTATTTCAAATACAGCAATGTGTACATGTCAGTCCCAAACTCCTAATCTATCCCTCCCAGCCTTCTTCCCTGGTAACCATGATTTTTTTCTCTAAGTCTGTGAGTCTATTTCTGTTTTGTAGATAAGTTTAATTGTATCATTTTTAAAAGATTCCATATGTAAGTGACACCATGATAATTTGTCTATCTGACTTACTTTCCTTGATATGATAATCTCTTAATATGATATGTTGCTGCAAATGGCATTATTTCATTCCTTTTTATGGCTGAGTAATATTCCATCACATACATGTACCACATCTTTATCCACTCATTTGTCAATGGACATTTAGGTTGCTTCCATGCCTTGATTACTGTAAACAGTGTTTTAATGAACATTGGTGAATGTACCCTTTTGAACCATGGTTTTCTCTGGATGTATACCCAGGAGTGGAATTGCTGGATCACAGAGTAGTTCTATGTTTAGTTTTTTAAGGAACTTCCATACTGTTTTCTATAGTGGCTGCACCAGCTGACATTGCTACCAACAGTGTAGCAGGGTTCCCTTTTCCACACACCCTCTCCAGCATTTACTGTTTGTAGACTCCTTGATTGCCATTGTGATTAGTGTGAGGTAATAATCTCATTGTAGTTTTGATTTGCATTTTTCTAATAATTAGTAATAAGCATCTTTTCATGTGCCTCTTGGCCATTGGCCATCTATATATCTTCTTTGGAGAAATGTCTATTTAGGCCTTCTTCCCTTTTTTTTTTTGATTGGGTTGTTTGTGCTTTTGATACTGAGCTGCGTGAACTCTTTGTATATTTTGAAGGTAAATCTCTTGTCACTTACTTCATTTGCAAATATTTTCTTCCATTCTAAGGGTTGTCTTTCTGTCTCATTTACGGTTTTCTTTGCTGTGCAAAAGCTTTTAATTAGGTTTCATTAGTTTATTTTTATTTTCATTACTCTAGGTGGTGGGTCAAAAAAGATCTTGCTGCAATTTATGCCAAAGAGTATTCTTTGTTTCCTCTAAGAGTTTTATAGTGTCTGGCTTTACATTTAGAGCTTTAATTTATTTCGAGTTTATTTTTGTGTATGGTGTTAAGAGTGTTCCAATTTCATCCTTTTACATGTAGCATGTCTGCTGATGGGTAGGGCTTTGTTCCTGACCTGTTGGCTGTTTGGCCCAAGGCACCCACACTGAAACCTACAGACTGTGGGGTGGGGCCAGGTCTCAATGAGAGAATGGCAGCCTCTAGGAGGTTCACACCAATGAGAACTCCCCAGAACTACTGCTGCCAGTGTTCTTGTCCCCACAATGTGCCACAGTTGCTTCCCGCCTCTGCAGGAGACCTTCCAGTACTAGCAGATAAGTCTGGCCCAGTCTCTTATTGGTTACCACTTTTCCCTTGGGTCACTGTGAGTCATGAGACCCTGAGTGCACCCTCCACACATACAGTTTCTGTTTCCCCAGTCCTGTGGAATTTCTCTGATCAAACCTTGCTGGCCTTTGAAGCTAGATTTTCGGGGGCTCCTCCTCCCACTGCCAGACCCCAAGGTAAGGAGCCTGACATAGAGCTCAGATCTTTCACTCATGTAGGAGAGCTTCTATGGTAAAATTTTCCAGTTACTGGGTCACCCACCTGGCATGTATGGGATTTGATTGTATTGCGCTCCTCCAGTCATCTCATTGTGGCTTCTTCTTTGGATGCAGAGTATCTTTGATAGGTTCCAACATTTTTCTGTCGATGGTTTTTCAGCAGTTAGTTGTGATTTTGATGTTTCCATAAGAAGAGGTAAACTCATGTCCTACTCCACCATCCTGTCTCAGTGGTATGTCTTGGCTCACTGTTATAATTTATATTATTGCCTTAAGTCGGCCCTCATCACCTCCCTGGAGAATTCCATGGACTGTATAGTCCATGGACTCGCAAAGAGTCGGACACGACTGAGCAACTTTCCCTTTCACCATCTCCTATCTTCCACCAGAAAGCTGAGTCTTTATACGTCCACAGGATGCTATGATATGCTGCCCAGATCACTGTTTCAAGATGAAAGCACTCAGTCCTCCATCCACCTGGAGCACTGGCTGGCAGTGCCTTACAGCTGAGTTCTTCCCAGTGTGTGCTCAGATTCTTTCACTCACTCTCAAACATCAGCTGGATAGGGAGAGATCCAAGGGACCCAGTGGAGGAACTGTGCTTCTAAGGCTGATTTTTAACACAATAATAAGTTAGGCAAAATGCTTTGATTCTTGAATTTATATTATATAGCTATTATATAGATATAACATCACATGTAAATATATGGTTTATATTTTCAGTGATTTTGAGGTTATATCATTATTAATGAAAAACAAAGGATTTTCTGTTGTAATCTACAGCCATAGTTTGGTATTTAAGAATTCTTTATCTGTTTTCTCTCTGGTCTTTCTTAACTGCTCCCTCATCTCAATCTTCCTACTATCAGCCTCTTTGAGATTTAAGGTCCCAATAGATTTCCCTGCAGAGGGACTCTTGGTCACATATTCATGTGTAAACCTTAAGGAAACTGCAAGGAAATTATTTGTGTGAGATTACACAGTTAGTGGTAGGCTGCCAACACCCAAACCGCCTCGATGCCAGGTTCAGACTGTCCCCTAAGCCTTAGTGCCTTCCCTAACCTGATAGCACACCCTCGAGGGTAAAACAGCAAGCAGTGTGCCTCTGACCATGGAGGGTTAAGGGAAAAGTTACAGGTAAAGGTTCACTCTGTTCCCCTTCTCATGAAAATTTTACTCTGAACTCTCTAGCTCTGTTCTCCAGTAATCTGATAAAGTGGTATATGTGTCAACTATGTTACTAAGCAACACTGGGCTTCCCAGGTAATGCTAGTGGTAAAGAATCTGCCTGCCAATGCAGGAGACATAGGAGATGTGGGTTCGATCCCTGGGTCAGGAAGATCCCCTGGAGGAGGAAATGACAACCCACTCCAGTATTCTTGCTTGGAAAATTCCATGGACAGAGAAACTTGGCAGGCTATGGTCCATGGGGCCACAAGGAGTTGGACACCACTGAGCGACTGAGCACATGTAAGCAACATTACTTAAGGTGAAAATGACCCGATTAGTAACTAGCATCTGGATTTTAAATAAACTACTAATACCTAACAGGAAACTGTAACTTTGAGGTTTCCTGAGCATACTGACTTTTGTAACTGGGCAGATTCATTGGGGGGACCCTGGAAACTACGCCAATGGAATTATTATGAGAGAGACTGGTCCCAGGGCATGTAAACCAAGGCAGCTTCTGCACCTACCTAATGTGAAGCTCTTTTCCTTGCACCTGAGCTTTGTAACCTGGGGACTACAGGATTTTGATACATGGTCCTCTGTGTGGATTCAGCAAGAACTCCCGCAGGAAGAGAGACCCCAATGCTGTGCTGCTGGAAGCTGCGGGGCCTTACGGCTTTCTGAGGAGATTGATACTCAAATCATACCAAACGTGGCCTGTGTTCATCTTGTGAGTATGAATGTTAGGTGCACCTAAGACCCAGCCTTGTGGCTATTGTAGAGGGCATCAGGGCTCGAATTGGGCAGGCTGTGCCTCATGCCGTGCTGAGCCGCCAGCTCAATGCGACAGGAGTACCTCATCTAATTCCATGAGAACAAAGTTTTTGTTTTAAATAACACAAATAATTTTGTAGCTTTATTTGTGATAGAGTATAGTCATTTGCTAACAAAGCCTACAAAAATAATTTTGAGTCCTGTTTTTTGGTCAAAACAGTCTAACTGCTGTCATATCAACTAACAGTTTCAATAGCAGATTCCATAACCGAGATGAAATGCACCAATATTTTCCCCACTGTATTCCCGCATTCAGTCTGGGCTGCCACAGACAGAAAGCACGAGGGTACTTTTTTCTTGAATTTGTAGTGGAAACCTTGGCAGATAGTAACTGCTTCAGGCCTGTCAAACAGTTGCATGAAATGCACCAATTTAAATGGGAGTGCTTCATTTTCCACATTATGATTAGAGTACAGCACAGAGCTCAATGATGCTGCTTGTCCTCCAACTCCCTTCCAAATGAAAAATCAAACTCACCTTAGGTATTTTGCTCATTTTCAGTTTCTCCCTCAAGTCGCTCAGTGTCTGATGTCTGCCGTTGCTCAACAAAATGCGTCTTGAGCATGTCCTCTGTGTGCCTGTGAATGATCTGATGGGCTGCCAGGATATGCTTCCGCTGAGCATTCCTCACTGTGCCGAAGGGACAGGAGATGTGTTACTCTGAACGTCAGAACAGATCATTCCCAAAGGTTTTCAGGAGAATAGAGACAGAAATGATAACTTTGCAAACCACATATTCTCTTGCTTAAAGCTGACTGGATCAAAGAAAATTTTCTGCGGTTTTGGAAGGACACAGTCCAAAGGTAATTCAACCTAAATCTCAATATTGCTGCTCACTCTCTGTTCAGTCCAGTCACGCTCCTCCCCACTAGGTTTGCCTCCACTCCACAGCTGAGCGGCTCCCCTCACCTGGAATACTGTACTCCAGATCCTGCCCTTCTGTAAAGCCCAGCCCAAGTCCAGCTCTCCAGGAAGTCTTTGACTGAGGCAGCTCACATTTATCATGACCACACTTGAGTTTGTACCAGTCTATTCAGTGTTCAAGTGCTTCAGGTGAGTTACATTTTGTTTTTTTACCTAGATTATAAATGACCTAAAGGTAAAGATCTTGTCTCATACTTCTCTTTATGCTTTAGTCCCTAATATGAAGGGTACTTGTTGACTGATGAATTTGAGTTCATGGCTTTAGACGTTGTTCCTAGTGCTACATTCTAAGAATATTTATTATCAAGGCTTAGTACATTAAGCATCCCATTTCCCTTTTGAAAAGTGGTAACTGTGATGATGATGGTGGTAGCAGTTAGCCTTTGTCCTTACTTTGTGCCAGGTACGGTTTTAAATAGTTGGCATATAATTATTCATTTAAACTACTCACAGCCCTAAAAGCGAGTATTATTACTATCCCCATTTTCAGATGAGGCAGCTGAGACACAGAAATTAGGGGATTTGCCAAAAGTCATACAGCTAGTAAAGCACAATAAGAAGTACCATGGCTTTTATGCTGTTCAGATGTCAGCTAGTTTATATAGGGTAAATCACACAGCAACTTAGAACACTTCACAGCAGTATGGTTGAAAGAATGGAAACTTTGGAGCCACATAGACCATGGTGCAATCTGCGTAACATCTCTAAGCACTAATTTCCTTAACTGAAGTATGAGAACACATCTATAGATGTTATAAGAAATTTAGATAAGGTATTTCTAAAAATGCTTAATACATTTTCTGGAACTTGATATGCATTTAAACCTTGGTTGTTACTATTATTTCCATCTATGTACAGGTCTTCAAGGTCATTCCCATCTATCAAGTTTTAGAAAAATAAGAGTTGGTGGATTAGGAAGACTCTGAGCTCAACTCCTCTCATGGGCACAGCAAAATTACAGCTATTTACAGAAAACTATGGATGAGAAAGGCCAGAACCTACCAGAAAAGATCTAAAGATAATATAGAACAAACCATAAGAAGATAGGTAGGGTGGGCAGAATTGTGTTATACCCCTGGGAGGCAACCCTCAAACAGGAAAATTACTACAACTTCAGAGATTCACCCCAAGGAGTGAGGAGTTTGAGCCCCACACTGGGCTCCACAGCACAGGGGTCCTGCACTGGTTAAGACAGTACTGGAACATTTGGCTTTGAAGACCAGCAGGGCTTGCTTTCAGCAGACCCTGTGAGAAATAGATTCCACTCCTAAAGGACACGCACAAGATCTTACACACTGTGCGACCCAGGACAGAAGAAATAATCTGAAAGGACCATGGGTCTGGCCCACCCGTTAATCTTGGAGAGTCTCCTGGGGGCGTAGAAGGCAACTGGACCTCACCCTGGGGACAAAGACACTGGCAGTAACCACTTGGGGGAGTTTATTCTACCACATGGATACTAGTGCTGGTGAGCATTATTTTGTAATCCTCCCTCTAGCTTATTAGCCTTGGAACCTAGGTACACCCATCAGCTTCTAGGCACCAGTAATGGAATACCTCAGGCCAAGCAAGTGGGTGGGCAGGGACACTGCACCATCTACCAGTGGGCAGGTTGCATTAAAATACCCTAAGCCCACAGTCACCCATGTAGAGGGCCCAGGACCTGGCCCTACATACCAGGACACAGGTAATATAGAACTGGGACCCCTAGGACCTACTACAGAATGGACCCGCTGGGTGCCAGCCACACCAACCAGCAGGACAACACCAGCTCTGAGACACTTTGGGCCCCCTAGACAGCCTCCCCAGAATGTAGCCCCCACTCACCAGACACAGAATGAATAAATAAGGTCTTACTGTAAAGCACAGGGAATTATACTCACAATCCTGTGATAAACCATAGCAGAAAAGAATGTAAAAAGAGGATGTATGTGTGTGTGTGTGTGTATATATATATATATATATATATATATATATATATATAACTGAATCACTTTGCTGTCCTGCAGAAATTAACATTGTGAATCAGCTATACTTCAATAAAAAAAAATTAGGCAAAATAGCAACAAAAAAGGGAACTCTAAAGAAGAATGGATGAACGGAGTGAGCAGTAAACATTTTTAACCAAAAATTAGAAAATATAAAGAACTAAACAGATGAAAATACAGTAACTGAAATGAAAAATACACTAATACTGAGGAAAAGATCAGTAAGCTGTAAGAGAGTAGTGGAAATCACTCAAGCTAAACAGAAAAAAATAAAGAAATAAGGACAGTATAAAAGACCTCTGGGACAACATCACACACACTAACATTTACCTTACAGGAGTCTCAGAAAGAGAAGACAGAGAAAGTGGCAGAGAACATATTTGAAGACATAATAGCTGAAGACTTCCCTAACCTGTGAAATGAATGAAACATGCAAGTCCAGGAAACACAGAGAGAGCCCCAGACAGGATCAACTGAAAGAGGACCATGTCAAAACATACTGTAATTAAAATTGCAAAAATCAAAGATAAAGAGGTATTATTAAAAGCAGCAAGGAAAAAGAAACAAGTTAGGTACTAGGGAACTCCCATAAGGCTATCAAGCTGACTGTTCAGCAGAAACTCTGCAGGCCAGGAAACAGTGGCAAGATACCGTTACCGTGATGAAAGGGAAAATCTACAACCAAGAATATTCTACCTGGCAAGACTTTCATTTGGATTTGGTAGATCAGAAGTTTTACAGATAGGCAAAAGCTAAAAGAGTTCACTACCAGCAAAGCAGCTTTACAAGAAAGGTTAAAGGGACTTCTCTAAGTGAGAAAGAAAAGGTCAAACTAGAAACAGGAAAATTATGGGGGAAAAAAGCTCATTGGTAAAGGTAAATATATAGTAAAGGTAGTAAATCAACCACATAGAAAGCTAGTAGGAAGGCTAAAAGACAAAAGTACTAAAATCACCTATCACCACAGTAAGCAGCTAAGCGATACACAAAATATGAGAAAAACAGTAACTATGGAGGGAGGACAATACAAATTCAGACTTGTTAAATGCATTTGAAATTAAGAGATAAAGCTCTTAATCATATATAGAGTTGTTTACATCTATGTATAAACCAAATGGTACCCCAAACCCAAAAATCTACAACAGATACACACACACACAGAAAGAAATCCAAATAACACTAAAAATAATCATTAAAAGGGAAGAGAAGGCAAAAATAAACAAAAGAATTACCAAAACGACCCCAAAACAATGAACAAAATGGCAATACCTACCTATCAACGTGTGTGTGTGTGTATGTGTATGTTTTGTGTTGCTCAGTTGTGTCCGACTCTTTGTGACCCCATGGACTATAGCTTGCCAGGCTCCTCTGTCTCTGGAATTTTCCAGTCAAGAATACTGGAGTGGGTTGCCATTCCCTTCTCCAGGGGATCTTCCCTACCTAACAATAATTAATTTAAATGTAAATGAACTAAATGCTCCAATCAAAAGACACAGTGACTGAATGTATATACAAAAGAACCACATATATGCTGCCTATAATGAGACTCACTTGGGACTTCCTTGATGGTGCACTGGATAAGAATCCGCCTGCCACTGCAGGGGACTCAGGTTCGATCCCTGGTCTGGGAAGATTCCACAGGCCTCAGAGAAACTAAGCCTGTGCACACAGCTATTGAGCCTGCGTGCTGCAACTGCTGAAGCCCGCCTGCCTAGAGCCTATGCTCCGCAACAAGAGAAGCCATCACTGCAGCAGAGTAGTGCCGCCTCGTTGCAACTACAGAAAAGCCCACACAAAGCAATGAAGACCAAGTGCAGTCGAAAATAAAAATAAATTTTAAAAAAAGAGACTCACCTGACATCTAGAAGTGCACACAGAGGTAGAAAAAGGTATTATATGCAGAAAGAAATCAACAGAAAAGTAGGGGTGAAATACTTATATCAGAAAAAACAAATATTAAAGCAAAGGTTGTTATAAGAGCCAAAGAAGGACATTATATAATAATCAAGGGATCAGTCCAAAAAGAAGAAATAAATATAAATGTACCTAACACAGGAGCACTTAAATTCACAAGGCAAATATTAACAGACATAAAGAGAGAAGTCAACAGTAATACATAATACTAGGGTGTGTGTGTGTGTGTGAAAGAATTTATTTTACAGCAAGACCTAGGATATGGGTCCCTCTGTCATAGGCAATGAAAATGAAAATGCCCACTGAGAAATGAAATTATTCAGAAATTTCTCTGCAGTGAAATACAAACAGCTTTCCTGCAAGAATAGTCTTCTCTTCATCTAGAAATTTCCATATTTATACAAAACCCCAAAACATTTTAATCTTTGTTTGACTCCATCCAGGTTTCCATTACTAGGCACTTTAACGCCCCACTTACATCAATGAACAGTTCATCCACATATATAATTAATAAGGAAATACTGGCCTTAAATGACACACCAGACCAGATGAACTTACTAGATATGTATACAGAACATGTAATCCAAAAGCAGCAGAATACACATTCCTTCCAAGTGCACATGGAACATTCTCCAGGATAAATTACATGCTAGGCCACAAGATGCCTATTGCCAAATTCAAACTTAAACTGAAGAAAGTAGGGAAAACCACTAGACCATTCAGGTGTGACCTAAATCAAATCCCTTACAACTATACAGTGAAAGTGAGAAATAGATTCAAGGGATTAGATCTGACAGAGTGCCT